TGGGACAGGCGATCTCAGAGAGCTACACTCCAGAGATCCCACTATAGAGACACAAATACGATAACACTGAAAGTGAGTCTGACACACCCACTTTTAGTAAGGAGGAAATTACAGCGCTTAAGCGCCTGCTCCAAACCCTGTCCAAACAGGAAGATAAGAAGGCAGAGCACTTGGCCGCAGCTGCTGCAAAGCCAAAGTCCCCTTCTCCTGACACTTTGTCAAAACGACTGACACGCTCACACAGATGGACTGAGAGAACCGCTCCCTCCAGGACACTCCTGGTGGTACAGTCCGACTCAAGAGAGAATCCTCTCACAGAGTCCAAAGCCACTCAGGGCAGTCCGCCCTCCCAACACTTCTTGTGTCACCTTACTGAAAGGGGAGTTTCACGGAAATTCTACCTGCCTGTAACACTTGAAAACACTCTGGTGCAGGAAGCACTTCTTGATTCAGCTGCAGACATCACTGTAATGTCATCAGCCCTCTTCAGGCAGCTACAGGCTATGACCCGCTCCCACACAGACCTGAACTACAGACTTGTGACATTGAGGTCCAGCCACTCGGCCCTGAAAACCTCAATCTGACAGCCATGACATTAGTCCACATGTCTATCGGTCCCATGGACCTCATCCACCCGGTGTATGTCTCACCATTTGACGCCATTCCTCTACTCATTGGCAAAGACTTCCTTAACCGCTTTGAGCCACTGCTTGACTTTCAGAACTTGACGATCTGGGCACAGGTGAAACGACCCTGCCTATCTCACTGTCTGAATACATCACAGAACGAGAAACCCGCCTCTGTGCTTTAGTTACCACCTCAAATGACGCACTGATCCCCAAAACCACTCCACTGGATTGGCCGATCAGCACCGACACTCATGACTGTGAGCTCAAGACTCCAGAGATGGGGCACATGCCTTCTTCCTTGCCTCCTGACCTCTCTAAGGAAGTGATTCACACTGAGCCTTCAAAGGCTACTGTCAGCCTTTCTTTTTGCCGCTTACCAGCGACTCTGTTCCCACAGGCAACAGACCAATGACAGACAGATGGGTGCACAAACTGTCACCGCCTTCCCTGTCAACACTTCACCAGAGCCATCCTCCATGACTTTACATAAAGGCATGAGAGGGGGGTCAGACACCACATATATTCATCCTACAGCTGAACTTGACACCAAGTTTACAGCACTAGGCAAACAGGGTGCTGTTAAAGACACACCCCAGCACTCCCAAGCGGATTTGCTCCCCACCCATCCCGCCCTTATGACTTGCGATGCCACCAGAGCCCAGGCAGCAGGCTTGTCTGTGACAGCCCCCCTGCGCCACAAATCTCAGTCCCTGACTCTCTTGGTGACTCTGACCTAATTCGGCTTCAAACTCTTGATCCCGCCATTAGCAAAATGCTCCTCTGCCTTTCTGACGCAGAGCCTGTCTCAACACTGAGCTTGCTTCCATCCCTGGCTTGAAACACCTTTACCTGGTGCGCTCTTCTTTGCGTGTCGTCACGGGCATTCTCTCGTATGTCTCAGACGCCCGCACTTCACCTGCGTTCGTGGTGCCTCAGAGCCACAGGGGGGTGATGCTCATGCACGCCCATGACTCACCTTACAAAAGCCACAAAGGGTTCAGTGCAACCACAATGCACTAAAACAAGTAGCATATTGGCCAAACATGCAAAAAGATGTAGCAGACTACATCAAAACCTGTAAGGTTTGCTGCCAGTCTCAACCAGCAAAACCATCACACAGAGCCTCCTTACAACGGAGAGGCATTTCTTTTCCCTTGTCAAAGACACAATTTGACAGGAGGGAACCCCAACTGAACCAGCCAGAGGAAATAAACATTTCCTCGCAGGCCAAAATAATTTAGACAGCACACAAAGATGCAAAGTCTATAACGACCAAAATGCGTCTCACAACAAGCTCCGAAGGGGGGACAGAGTGTCATCACATCTCTGCTCCACTAAGGAAACAGGACGGCCAGAGAACAGGAAGACTTGCACACAAGTTCTCTCCCCACTGGACCGATCCTTCTGTGGTCACAGACAAACATTCACCTGTTCTGGACCGAACAAGCTTCACAAAAATCCCATGGGACTTGTCGGGAACGATAACGTCCTAATAAATTAATAATTAACAGAAATCCTCAATTAGGGACGATAGCTGCTAGTGGTTAAAAGGTCATTAGAGTTGCGTGCGTGCCTTGTAAAACAGAACTTGGAAGCCAGGTATCTTTTACTTCGGTCCGCCACCCACTATTCTGTGCTCCCTGTTGCAATTTAAACCTACCACTAAATTACCAGTGGAGGTCTTTAACCAATTAAATTAGAATTTCCAAAAATTTCCACCCACCAGGTGGAGCCGCTCTCCCTGACCACTTAGTCACAAGTGGGGTTACTGTCTAAATTTATTGCTCCTTAACCAATTAAGAATACCTGCTCCAGAGCAGACATCTTGCAGCAACTGCAGAAATAGAAACCACTCAGAACAGTTCCTCTCAGACTAAAAGCCGCTTCTTTTATAAAATTTGTTTTGAAAGGGCTAAGACCCTCAGACTAGACTGTTAGCCTAAACCAGCTAAACAACCTCAAGCTCACTGCAGGTTATGGTTCTGAATATCAATGAATTTCTGAGAAAAATAATGTTGGTCATGCTCACACACGACTTGTCATTTGTTAAGATATTTGTTTTGCTTCCCAAATTAATTTTCCGCTTTACTTTGTTTCAGGTGATTAAGTAACACAGCAGGCACCTGCTACTTTCAGACTAGCTAATTGGGGTTACCCTAAGTGACTAGCAGAATTAGTAGCCTTAGAAGGACATCAACCTGATCACAGATGTTGTGTTTTGCCACCTGCTCTGCTTGACTCCTTCCACCTCACCAGCATCATCAGTACCTGACCAGCAGCTGCCACATCATCAGCTCCTGACAAAGTCGACCTGCACCTGACAAACCACACATGTTGTTTCTCATTGCGTCCAAAACGTTACCTATCGGAGGGAACATTTTGGCCGAAGGGGGGACTGTAGTGAACAACATGTGGATTTGTGCATTTTATATTGAATGAATGTGGAGCTACCCTAAATTCCTTTCTCCTCCCCAGAGAAGATGGGGAGGGGTCAAAGTTGCTTTCTCTAAGTGCTAGCCCGACCATAAAACTGGCACCATTTTGATTCCGAAGCTGATAACGCGGGGCCTGACTGTTAAACTGACAAAGGGACACGAGCCAGCCATTGGCATCTCCCTGAACAGCCTATCAAAACTTACCCCACCACACACGTTTCCGTGGAAACTGACCTTATTCTTGTTTTATTACCACATCAAAAGGATACTCCTTGTCTCACCTAAGTGTGACATGTTCCAGACACTGAACTTTGGATGACAAAGGACTGCATTCTCCAAAAGACTCAAAGCATCTAATTAAATTTAATTAAATCTTTAGTTACCTGAATATGTTTGCCTCTATTGAGTAGTTATGTTAACTGTTGTTGCTATCTGTTGTTGATATTAGTGCTGAAAAGAAGTTACTTGTGCAATGTTTTTATTTTCAGCAAGACACTCCTTCATCTAATGTAATCAATGCTTGTTCATAATACTTTCTTACAAAATCCCTTTAGAAATGATGACAAAGAAATGTTTTACTACACTCTTAATCGCCAGCTTGAATTTAAGGATGAATCAACAATATTCCCCGGTTCCTAAGGAGAGACGATCTTTGATTTAATCCAAGCTTTCCTCATGTAACCTGAGCTCCCCCAAGTGGACGAAATAAGTATTACATGCCCTCGTCGGAAATGCGGTTAAATGTATAAAAATACTGACCAATAATGTGACAATTGTTCCTGTTACCAAATGCCTAGAACAGTACAACCGTTCAACCATTGAGGTTCGATTGTGGAAAATATTTGATTATAATACGTGCAAATAGATTTCTTTTCTTTAGACATTAAGTTTAGGAAAGGCAGTCCTGGGGAAACCTGAGACGCCCCTGGGGAACCACGCCCCAGGCAACAAAAGAGCGACACGCGACCTGCTCGCCAGTCTCTAGACTCTAGACTCTTAGTCTCTGCCCTCTGGATGCTTCGGCACGCGCGTGGCGTGCCTCGCCAGGCAACACGCCCAGACTCGGCCAGCGAAACAAACAGGCCTTTGTTCGCTGAAGCTACACACCTGAAGTGCCGCGACATCGATCTGCCTTCAGTTTGTTTTATTTTCTTTATTTCTTTTGTTTGTTAAAGTTATGAGTCCGTTAAGTTACACTGGACTAATTCAGGAACGACCAAGTTCCATTTTAAGCCTTTTTCGTCGAGCCAACTTCACCGAGGTCAGACCAAGCCACGTGGTCTCGCCAGCTACAACCAAGGAAACCTGCAAACAGCCGAATTGCCAGACGGAGGAGGCATTTTCAATCAGACACGGAGAACCCCGACAATCCCTAGCAAAAAGCCAGGATCGGCAGCTAGCGTGGGACCCGTGCAACAGGCCAAAAGCAGGCTGTCGACAAGCAGTAAGACTTAACACACGTCCTGTGATCAGATGTCCATTTTAACTCCTAAATTATAGCATTAGTTTACTTTCAGCTCTTCTATGCCGTATGAGTCGAATGCTTCCCACAATCGAACCTCCAGGCTCATTGTTCAGCAAATGTTTATGTTCCCTGTATCCAACCATCTTTTATCACCTTAGTTAGAGAATAAATTCACTGTAATATAATCAAGAGCTGTGTGTGTTGCCTATTTATAGTTCCTGCCAAGAGAATTGACCCTTTAGATATGAGACTGACTGATTTAAGAAATTGAGCGATTATTAACTAACTGATCACTAGTAATAATTGTATAATTATTCAAAACTACCTAGAGGTCCGGAGACTCTAGGATTATAACAACTCCGGTGGTGCCCTTTACGAGGAAATTCTGATTTTATGAATAATAATTCATAATTGGGTATCAATTCTCATAAATTTATTAAAATGCATAACTAATAAATTTAGGTCCACTACAACATCCTGCTGGTTTCTTGGTGATGGCGTGTGTTCTCTGTTTATGTATGTATCATACATCATTCCCTGTGCCTCAGTAGGAGAGATGGTGCTCATATCAGTTGACCGATATGTTGCTATTTGTCACCCTCTGCATTATACCACCAGAATCACTGCGAGAAGAGTTAAACTCTGTGTTTGTCTGTGTTGGTTCTGTTCGGTTTTCTACAGCAGTCTCTTTGTAAAATATGGTGTGACTCAACCAGGCAGGTATAATTCCTGCTACGGAGAGTGTGTTGTTTTAGTTGACCATATCGCAGAAGCAGCTGACCTTGCTTTGACCTTTGTTGTTCCAGTTTCTCTCATCATCGTTCTGTATATGAGAGTGTTTGTAGTGGCTGTGTCTCAGGCTCGTGCCATGCGCTCTCACATTACAGCTGTCACACTCCAAAGTTCAGTGACACTAACAACAAAGAAATCTGAGTTGAAAGCAGCCAGGACTCTTGGTGTTCTTGTAGTTGTGTTTCTAATATGTTTCTTCCCATATTATGGTGTGACTCTTGCAGAGGACAGCTTGCTCAGTACTTATTTTTTAACCTTTGCTATCTATCTGTTTTATTTTAATTCATGTCTAAACCCTGTGATTTATGCCATGTTCTATCCCTGGTATAGAAAATCTGTTAAACTCATTGTTACTCTTCAGATTCTGCAGTCTGGCTCCTGTGAGACCAACATACTGTAGAGAAGCGGTGGTGGGACTGAGATTAGATCTGCTCTACAAAAGGTTTTCAATTAATTCAAAATCCAAAAGTGGAAGTGAAATGTCTTTATACTCTCTCTTTAAATAGTATATAAACAATATGTGTAAATAATTACTAGTTGGTCGAATCTGAAAACTAAACAATGGGATTATAATTCCTATTTCCTATCCATGTAAAGGGAGGTGGGTAAAGCCTGTAGGAGGAGAAAATGGAACAGTATTCATGTACAAAATGACTTGTATCAAAAACCATGTAAATTTTAGATCCACTTGCCAATGATCAATACTTTGTGCTACACACACATTTAATTGAATATAAACTGTTTTTATATACACTTATATACACATCAGTAAGCTCAAATGAATCACTCACAACCTTTTTGAATCTTACATTTTATGATTTATTCTAAAGAGCAAAAAGCTCAATCAATGACTGTTCAAACATTCAGAAATCTGAATAATCAGTTGATCAGAAATGCCCTTCATCTATGGGTGGGGATAATATCAAATAACTAGTAAAGCAAGATGTTGTTGGGACTCTCCAAGGAAAGCCATTTAATTACTGCAAAATGCCAGAGCTGTGTTCAAAATCACCTTATATTTCCTAAGTGTATGATTTATGTATACAGTAAGGAATCTCAAAAATGAAGTACACTGCTTTTTTCTAAAAAGTCCTTAATGCAGGCTCTGACTTTAACAGATGTTAAAATTACAGTTGTGCTGCACTGCTAATCCTATCAGTAATGTAAATGTGTTCATGTAGTGAATTATTTATTTTGTAGGGGACTGTGAATGAATAATCAAAGGTGATTTTAAACCTAGCATAAGTTAAAGTGGCCAATGCTCTAATGGGTCACTAAACTTACCTGCTAGAATATTTGCTTTTGGATGACTTTTGAGAAAAATATTTTTCCCATTGAAGGAATGCAAAACTCAAAGTGTAACATCTAGCCAAACATAAAAGTGTATGTGATTTGTATCCAACTTTTAAAATAATACAATCTAAAGAAATAAATATTTAGCTTTTACTGTTTTTTGAACCCTTACTACTGAGGGATAACCTTCGACCATGTAAGTGAAGACATCCGTATGAGAAGCTGCCTAGGCCAATATTGAATACTTCGCTTGCACATTCATACAGTCATGCACATACATACATATTCACTTGCACATACATACATACTGTCATGCACATACATACATATTCACTTGCACATACATACATACTGTCATTTGTAAGTATGTATCTGCGAAGTCAGTATTTATGTATGCGCAAGGTTAGTATGTATATACAACACATTTCATCTCAATGCATCATAACTGACACCTTCAGCGTGAGGATTTTACGCGAAAGGTACCCTTCAGCGTCCGTATGAAACACCCCTATGAAACGCTAGCGCTAGCTAACTAACACTTCCGGTCTGTAAGGGGACGCCCCAGAGCGGCTCACACCCTTTAGTGTCCTTTAGCATCATGTAACTACGCTTTATCACCCTTTCTCAAATCATCGGTATATGACACCCTGAGATGAGAACAGGCTTGTATATATGCGCGAGAGTAAGTGTATATATATATATGTGCGAGGTTAAGTATGTATGCATGTGCAAGGTGAGTATGTATATATGTGCGTAGTGAGTATGCATGTATGTGAATTGGTTAGTATGTATATATGTTAAGAGGTTAAATCTGTAATATTAATATAATCCATTTAGGAAAAGGTATGATAGTCCACATATAGAACAGCTTTCAATATTGGCCTGTTCTGTAAAGTACTATCCAAATCATTTTCAAAATCATAACATTCACATTCACAAAGTTGCGGCGGCTGTGGCTCAGGAGGTTGGCTGTTAATCGGAAGGTCGGCGGTTCAATTCCTGGCTCCCCCTTGTTGCGTGTCGAAGTGCCCTTGGGCAAGATACTGAACCTCGATTTGTATGAATGATTGTGAATGTTAGCTTCCGTTTGAGCACTTAGGCTCAGTGTATGACTGGTGAATACTGGTGCTATACAAATATGGAGCATTTACTTTAATATCGGCATTAGCCCACAAATCAGTCAGGCTCTAGTAGGTACCTCAAATGGTAATTTTAACTTTTACTTGTCTAATTTTGATTTTGGGGAAATATTTAGAAGAATTAGGGAGAAATGGGGGGGACTGTTCGCTAGAACTGCCACACTGTTTCAAAAATAAATCTACAATCACGTTTGTCAGTGTAGCCTTCACTACTCACCTACCGTACCATTACAGTTGTGACCCGGGAGAGGGTTATGAAAAACGGTAGGTTAGCAAGTCTTGTAATGAATGTTATCAGAAGAGGAGAAGTGATTTAGGGCTATTATTATTATTTATGATAATTGACGTGACAAAAGACCAACTCACCGTGAACAATGAGTGTAAGAGCTACCAGGAGATACTCTTCGTAGTTGTCTCTGCATGCTCCGGTAGACTCCTGTCAGCTGATGTTTTGTTCTGTGATGCTGTAGTGTTTTGAACAGAGGAGCTGCAGAGCCCACTCTTGTGAGTAAACTATGCAACACTCATGACATGAGGGAAGGAGCCGACTCTCTTTGGACAGTTTCTTTTTTAATAATCATAAATCGGCTGTTATAAACGCAGATGCCGATTTATCTGCAAGGAGCTTATATTGGCTGATAATATCTGTACAAAAATCAGTCAAGCTCTAACAAAGTCACTACAGACACTCAATTCGTATCTGTTGCACTGCCTACATTTCACAGTGTATTTTTATTCCATAAAAGTTAATTGGAACATACTGGACTTCTGTCAGCTCTACAGAATCGTTAACTTCGCCACTGATCTCCTTACTGCTGTTTCATACTTATTTTAGTTTTCACTTTTTACAGTATGTGCTGTTCGTTTTTTTCGTGTTTTGATCATTCCGATTCCTTATCAAGTCAGTGGTTTAATTTATACATTTGACAGTACAAGGACAAGAACAAAATGTAGACTTTTGTAAATGAAATTCAATAATTCAAGACTTTTGATGGCTTATTTTGAGAATATTAAATCTGATGCTTTTTTAATACTTTTAAAACCCTGCGGTGCATGCTGATTCCTGCAAGTTGAAGTTATAGTAACTTGCAAAGACAGCTGCTATCCCATTAACAAAGTTGGCATGCGGTCCCATGACCACTTGTCCTTCAATCAATAACATCCAGGCCTTAGGCTTCATCACCTCACCTGAAGTAGACATAATGAAGATTCAAGATGACTTATTTCCTGTTGCCTGTTGCAGTGTTATTCTGTCCCACGTAGGTACTGTAATTACTGTGGGACAAAATCATAAACTAAAAAAAATAAAATATTCTGAAAAAAGAAAGAAGGGGATATCTTAGTTTACAATGCCTGGTACGATCAACCGGGGGGTGGAGGGCAAGGTCAGGGTCCTCTGAACATCAGCAGCTGTAGCACATGGCTAAAAAGTGTAAGTGAAATTAAGTTCATAATGTCTGTGAAGGTTCTCAGTGATCCAGGTCATAGTTATACAAGGAAGGAAGGTCCAGCTGCCCTTGATTTTAACCTTCCTTGGATAAATTCATAATCTTTTAGATTGAGCCCAATTAAAGGAGACCTATTATACTGCTTTTCAAGTCCTATTTTGTAGTTCTGTGACTCCTATGGCAGCTTTGCATGATTCAAAGTTAAAAAACATATATATTTTTTCTTATACTGGCTCTTTATGTAGGCCGTCATTTCAGCCTCTGTCTGAACAAGCTGTAGATGCTCCAGTCTCTTTAAGGCCCCCCCTCTCAAAGCCCACTGTCTTCTGATAGGCCAAGACCTGTAGCATGTTACCATGCTTTTGTTGCTGGGCGTAACTGGCAGACTGAGCGTTGTCATGACGTTAGTGTGGGACACATGACCATGAGCTGTGTCTCAATTCAGGGGCCGCATCCTTCGAAGGGCGTGGCCTTCGCGGCCTACGAAGGCATGCGGCCACAGAAGGCCGTTCCAACCGTTGTTAAATGGCACGGTCTGGTCTACGGAGGACTGTCTATTGTGTCATCAACTGACCCCACCCTTACCCATGCGTGGGGAAGCGCCGCTCCTGTCACCTAGCAACCTTCACAGCTGCGGTCCACCGGCATGGAGACGAATATTTTAATTTTGGTATTTTACCTCTTAATAGAGGAACTAGAGATACTTCACCGCCGGCGCCGTGCAAGTGTGTTGTTTCGGTTCTTATACTCAACTATTGTTTTTATTTGCATCAGGAGGGAGCTACAAACACTTTTGGGATACTCTAACGATACCCTGCACAATGGTGTAGCGGCAAACAGCTCTTTAAGGATTAGGATCATGCTCCTGCATCTGATCTACCACAGCCTTTACCATCTCTCTTCTGTCATTTGGTGATGGTCTTGTGAGACTGAGGACTGCTGTTCGTATCCCTGTCAGCATCAGTTTACCCTGAAGTTTGTATGCCATGGTTTTTTGAGGAGAGCAATTAAAGAGGTTTCTGAGTGTTATGAGTACTCGTGGGTGGGATGCATGGGGTACTCCAAGAGTTTAGGGAGAGGGGAAGGGAGGCAACAGCTCCTAAATGTGAATCAACTGAGTTGTGCTCTGGAAGAAAGAACACACATAGCAGTTTTTCCTGGCTTAGAATGGGCTTTTGGGTGGTGTGATCATAAGCATATCGTAAGCATGATCGGTAAACATAACATAACAAGTAAAGGCAATGTTACTTTAAGACTGAAATCTATGCATTTTCTTGTTATTTCTGTCCGTTTGATTATATTTACTGGTTACATTTTATTTGGATAGTCTGCCCAGTCTATACAGTATATGTAACATTTAAACAGCTTATTAGTTAAAATTCAACTGTTTCACAAATAAAACAGTTTTCTGAAATTACATCCCTATGGTTAAGCCTAAAATAAGGTTAATGTTAGTGAATTCAGACGATAGTTTAGGCTAATAAACTTTTACCACTACTATAATTTCAATTCCAGTTGGA